AAACTTACAAAAATGATAAATACTATCGAATGAACAATATCGTTGTATTTTAAAAAAATCCCAATCATTTTTATCAATTGATGCAAAAAATAAGAAATATTTAAAATTTTTCGGGCTTAATCGGTTTTTATCTCCGGTCAATATCCGACCAGCTTTAGAAAAAATATGTTCACACTGAGCCGAGGTAGCAACAATACTTAAACATTGTTTGGCTAAATAATCTTTGTGACCGGGCACAAAGCTGTGCGAGATCGCCCAGGAGGGCTAGTTATCGAGCGTGTGCTCGTGAAAGAATTCGCCAGTAAGGCAAGTTTCGCCCAACCAGGCCTGTGCAAGCCAGTGCACCAGTGCGAGTTTCGCCCAGTTGGGCCTGTGTAGGTGAGTGCACTCGTGCATATACAATTGGACATCGACGCCCAGACGTGGGCGTAAGAGCGTATATCGTCGCCGCACGTGCTTGTCGACGCCCGGACGAGGGCCGAAAATCAGCTGAGACACGGAGCCGATACAGCGTCGAGGCGCCGAAGATTTGGGGTTAGTTTTTAAGATTAGTTACGAGGTATTGGTCGACGCGACTGCCAGGTCGCGGGCGTGTGATTGTGTGTGTTCGAGCTTGGCTGACGAGTGTCGCAGCGGCGATACGCAGCAAGCAGAGTGTTTATGTGTGTGTGTGTACGTCGACATCCGGGCCGGCCGCTTCAGGGTGGATCGCCCGCGGCCAAGTACGGAACGCATCGTCGAGATCAACGTGCGAGTGCCACGTTGCGTCGATACACGTGCACTCGGCATCGTCACATAGATCGCGCGCACAGCGGCCATATTGACTCGGCCGATTAGGCTCGCATCACGAGATACGATCGACGCGAACATCACGCGCGCCCCTGGTGGGCAAAGTCGGAAGTAAGATTAGGTCGAACTTGTGCCTCGTCGCGTCATATTGTAAATCATCGCCCGTTGGTCAATTTAAAGTGATTTTCCGGCCAATTGGGCCTTGAATTAAATAAAGTACCGCATTTAATCGACAACATAGCCTATTTATTTCGCGACATCACTTTTCGCGGTTTCAGCAGAAGTTGCCGGAGTTCGACGGTGAGTCAGCGAGTCTACAGCAAGCTCGCACTGACGACGGGCCCAATATCCCCTCTGAGAGTAAGTGACCAGGTAAGGTGGTCCCATAACAAATTTATTCGACGGCATGTGATTTGCTGCTTTTCTCCACCCCGGGGTCAACCGTCCGTCGCAGCTTATGGAGAATTATTATGATTTTTCCAGTAATGAAGAGGGTTGAATGTTTCATCCTGTTCGGTCAGCTGATTTAGATAATAATTCGACTCAGCTGAGGCATTTTTTTCGGACGTTTTCCTTTGATTTGAACTCTTGTCTTGCAATATTCCCAAAATACATTTGCGCTAAGCAAAGTTTTTATGATTATAAGGCACATTACTTACGAATTATAATGAAGTAAAAACATACATACAAAAGACTCAAATATATACTTTTAAAAAAAGCAATAAAATACCTTTTTGAAACATTGTTTGTTTCTCGAATGTTTGAATCTATTTTGGCTACTTTGCTAATGAAGGCTTGGGTCGCTTCACAAATTGAATTGGATAGATGCAGCTTCTTCTTCAGCAATATCAGTGCTTGATGATACCTGAATGTGCATTAAACAAAAAAATCATAAAACAGTGTAAATTAATGATAAAAATTAATAATTGCTTGGTGCAAACTAACCTGATCATGCTTTCGTTTAGTGTTTTTGGGCATCGCGATATTGTGGTGTCGGCTCAGATGTGTGTGTAGGTTTTATGTACTTCCGCTCACTTGTATTTTGGTTTTACAAATCGAATATTCGGCTTTGCTGCCACCCAATTCCACGAAGTGCTGCAATGCTAGGCTTTTCTTAGGCATTAAAATGCAAACATAAAAAAATGTTCAATTTTAAATTCGCGGTAAAAATTGTTTCTTCTGTAAAGAACAATTGAATATTAGCTAACGAACACTAACGAACACTACTAAACCCTATAAGTTTGAAAGGACTTACTTTGATGTTTTTACCAGATTGATAATGAACCTCCTCATACGAAAGTGAGCTTCTCGCTCGTCAACTGCCTTTTTCACAACTGATATTATAGAAAATGTTTGCGATAACCCGTATTCACTCGATATTTCAGAGCGAGCAATGACGGTAAAGAAGATAACAATTAGTCGACGAGACTGTGCTGTCTTGCATAACTGGTTCAGATATTGAAGATTCAATTGTACTTGAAGTAAATTTAACCGTATCCCCTGATAGTGCAAGGTGCCCGTCTTTGTCAGTGACAACTGCTACTTGGATAGGTTTTTCTATTCTTTCACCTTTGTTGAAATGTTCAGCCACCCAATTAATAACTCTATTGCTCATTGCTCAAGCGATTTTGTGTATTGTGTATCCTTACCGATGGTCGTAGTTGAAATAGATTAAAACCGTAGCTTACCCAAAAACATAAATATTGCTGTAAGTCTGCGTATCGCCTTGGTGCGAGACTACGCTCTTGGTGCCTGACGGCAGGTTTTACGAGTCGGGTGAACTTTAGAAAATAAGGCGAGGAACAGGAGCTCTACACGGTGTCTTCGCCAAAAAGCTCCTTCAGGAGTTTCGAGTCGACACGGACGTGAAGATCAGCCGTGATCGTCGTGACACCTCGAGCAGGAGGCACTCCGGGACACACTTGGCTCGGTGGTGTCGGCGGCGGTGTCGCTGGCGAGGTGGACAGGACGATGACAATCCGGTTGACAGGAGCAGCCGATGGGGTGGCAGTGGCCAGGACGACCGTTGCGATGGGTCTCGGCTGTGGCCCTCGAGGTGGCGCCCGAGCCGAGGGCGCGAACACGTACGGTGTGATGACCGGGGCGATGCGTCGTGTGGTCATCGCCGAGGTGCCGGAGTTTGCTTGCGTCGATATTGTCCTAGGCAGGAGTCGAGTGGCGACCGGCCTTCGGGTCCCTGGCGCTAGTTGGGCGCCGGTCTGCGCTGCGGTGATAGTGGTGGTCGTCGTCTCCGTCTGTGTCTGCATTGAACTCCGTTGCCGAGGTACGCCTGTTGTCGGTATTTGTGTCGTGGTGTTTCCTCTTCCGCTTACGGCCTTCTCAAGCCTCCAGATGTAGCGAACGGCAGGCCACGCTCCAAGGCACTCCACTATTCGTATGAGCTCCTCCGACGGAATCTCCGGCGAATCTGGTCGAGGAGTGGGGAAGGACATGTGTAAACAATAAGAGTTTTACTTTTGATTTAATTGCTCTGTTTATTTTTATTCACAGAAAGCGAGCCCAGGAGAGTACATCTCCGGCTCTGAACAAGCAGTCTTGTAAGCTAATACATTGACTCCCTCTCTTGCACGAACTCGCCAACTTTGCGCGTTTGCCACCTAGCGACGACACGGCTCGCTTCCAATACACACATCAACATATACGCATGTATAGATGTATTGAAAGGCTATGCTGCTTATACGTAAGCTCTCACTGCATGTATTGCTTCCTCACTCGCGAAGCTATAGGTCTGGGCGTTCTACGGCAGTGTCCCTAAGATGCGCGCTGCGAGATGGCACCTATTCATTAATTTTTTTCTTTCAAGTGTTATTGTATGATGAGGGGGATTCGTGAAACACCTAGAGACTTAATACTTTGAGTGGGGGAATATTTTTTTTATTATTTATTCAAATATTCATTTCTATTGTCTTTTTTTTTATTTTACTCATTCAATAATCGATGATGCACTAATATTACTCAGCTACTCGTCACTGTCCTCCTCGCTGTCGAATAGTGGTACTGTACGAGGGGACTTTTCCGTACTTCTGGTTACCTTGACCGAATGAACTATACAGTGTGAAAGAGAGAGAGAGATGATGCGAAAACTGCCCCATGGGGGGGTCCCACGCGTTGAGCGTTCATATAAGGTAGGGAGGATGGTATTGGCGGCCCGATTTCTCCTCTCGCGAGCATTCAATTGCTGCGCTTAGATGCGTGGCTTATCGAACGCGGGTACGATGCGCGATGATCTGTTATGCCGACGGCCGCTGAGAATACTAGATCCCTTGAAGTATATTCTGTACACTAATAGACTGATAGTATATATGGCATGCTTGTTAGTGCAGCCTAGCGCCAATTTTTTGAATTTACAATGGCCGTTAACCACCGCGACGTGGAGCTTGGGAGTCGGGACTACTTATAATTTTGCAATGTATCGATACACTGATGTATAGAATGCGTAAGTATCTATACAAAATATCGATTTCGTTCAGACATCTTGACGGTTACACAAATACAGGCCAACTAAATAATTGACATGAAAATTAAATTTCGTATATGAAATTTTGTTATGTCAGTAAGACGAATTAAGGCATACTAAATAATTAACGTAAATATGAATTTAGTACACGAAGTTTCATACAATATGTATAAAAAATAATCATGCCTAATATTTTGTGATCGTTTTAAGTGGTATTTCGAACCTTATAGGTCAAAAAAATTTAATGTAAAGAGATACGTGTGATTCAAGCACAGCAATTTTCATCAAATAACAATTCTCATCACGTTATGCGTGTACGCATTCAGCAGATTGTACTGTATAGGGAAATGATAATATTTTTATATCTAATTGTGACTACGAGATATGTGCCAATGTCACTATTTTTAACTTTTTTTGTCTTTTCAAAATTGTCATGACTTAACCGTGGATTTTCTATATAAGAGTTAAATATGAAAGCTAGTGGAAGCAATTTTCTCAAAATATTTCAAAAAATAGGAAAAAAATCGATAAAAGTGAACAATACTTTCTTCATAAATACTTACACATTGTTCTAATTTTTAAATCCTACAAAATAATTGCTATGTTGAAAATGTGTTCTAAAATAATTAAAAAATTTTTTTATTCTCGAGATAGATAGTAATGAAATGATGATGATATAATTTAAACTTATCAATATAAAAGAATATCATTTAACATCTATTTTCATTTACAGACAGATTTAATCAAAGTTTACTGCATTCTTTTAATTCAACAAAAACTGAGTTGATAAGTCCTGAACAAAAAACTGTAACGAAGCTAGAAGGAAATATTAAGAACGATCATTTGCTTAAGGTTTGCATTTCAATTATAATGTACATTAGTCTAATAGCAATATAACTAATGGAAAAAATCATTGCAGTGTGCAGAGTATAAAATTTATACAGTAGACCCTCCGTATTCGCGGTAGTTGCGTTCTGTAAAAAGGCTGCGTACGACTTTTTAGTGATTATATTATGAATAATTAGACCCGGGCGAACATTGCAGGGTGAGCCTCGGCGGGTCTTTTGTAGTATGTGTAACCTAGAAATCTTACCCCGACGCACCTTGTCGGTTACGTGTGTCCTTTTGGCCGTTGAGTCCGTTCCACGTGCGTCTAAGGTTTACCTGTGGACGGCATGCAATCGGGTAGGGAAAAGATCATCGCACACACATTCATTCATAAATTATAACTCGCTATATTCTATTTGAATAGACAAACTATAACGGTTTATTAATACTAATAAGCTACAAAAGTCTCGGAGAGAGTGAGACCGGACCATCGACGGCTCGCAACAGCGTAGCTCTTTGGAGCGTAGCCGAACAACAAATACATAGATCAAGGTAGACAACGGCCGCGCTGTTCAGCTCACCGTTGTCGAGGTATTTGTTCTCGTGAAGCCTGGGGGTTGCCGTTGCTGGTTGCCTCGCTGGTGGCCCTTCCTCGGGTCCCTGCAACAAACGGGCGGTGTGGCTTCGTGAATACGTCGCTGGTCACCTCTGCAGCGGTGATCGGGTCGTATCGTTCACACTTGGCACACACACACACACACACACACACACACGAGCACGACCTCGAGCTCGCACTCACTCGCTCTCCTCGTCACGAGGACTTAAGATATAACTCCGCGATACCACACACACTTGCGACTCGACGTAGGTAGTCTCCGGGACTACCTCGTGCTCGTACTCACTCTCGCCCTCAATAATGGATATACAATATACGGTTCGCAAGAGTCACTCTCTTTACAGTTCTCCGTGTCTGCTGCCGATCAAACGGTAACTAACTCGTGTCGATCCAACGCTCATACTTTCATGCCTTCTTCTCTGTTTTCCTTTCAATCCGATCGTCCTCTCATCGACATACAACAGAACAAAGAAAACATCACGTAGAATCATCATTGTTATAATCATCATTATTCTCTCGGCTTGAATCCCGATCTCGTGCCACGCACCTGCACTCGCGCTTCTCCGCGTCACGGTACGCTAAGCCTAGTACCACGTGAACTCGCTCGCGAAAGTCCAAGGGGGATCACAGAGTCACAACACGTGCCCTGCTCGGATCCCGATGTCGTGACGCGCGCTTAACCACTAAGCGGAAGTGACCTCGCAACGTTCGGCCTGCGATGGCTCTACGGACTCCGTGCTCGCGGTGACGACGAAATGCAAAAATGGCCGTTACGCAATGACAAATACTTTACTCGACTTAACCTACTGCGCGACGTACTACTTCACACACACACACACACACACACACACACACACACACACACACACACATATCGGCCTCCTTGGCTCAGTGGGTATAGTTCTTGCCTGCTGATACAAGGTACGCCGTAGGGCGTGGGTTCGATCCCCACCGGGCGAATTTTCGAGGTTCGTTTTTTCGCCTGGTGTGGTCGAGCCTGTGCCTGAGGTGGAGCGGGTACCACTCAAAAAGAAGACCCGGGCTATGTCATCAGCCTCCGAAGCGGTAAAAAACCCCGATCACTGTGCGAGCTGGAAGCGATAGGAAAACCATAAGTAGGAGCCCGAGGCGAGGACTCACAAGGCTGGCAATAGATGGAGCACACCACTCTCATGATGAAGTCGGAAGCGAGAACCACACACACAAGAGGGCGCCGGATGTGAGAGCCAAGGCTCTGTTGGAGCACAGATGGCGCCTGAAGCGTGAACCACACTCACAAGACGACAACAGAAAAAGGAGGAGCACTCACAGGGTAGCGCCGGAAAGCGAGAACCACACTCACAAGATGTAACCGACAGAGCAAAGCGGCGGACTTGCCATCGGCTGCAGAAGCGAGAACCACACTCACAAGATGGCACTTGACAGCGAGTCCTAGGAAGAGAGGCCCAACTCAGGAGGAGATGCCAGCAATGCGTGACCACGCAGACGGCTCTGAAAAAGGGGATACGACAATCGCCGACGGCATCGTGCAGGATCGGAGGTTCACCAAGAAGATAAAGATGAGTCCCTGAACCCCTAATCGTCGCATATCACTATGCGACGGATGGGGGATGTATGGAAAACAACGACTAACAGGAGTAGCAGAAATGCTCAACTAACCCCGGCCTCACCGAAGCAATGCCTAACGGCGGATACCGGTGAGTGTCCGAATGGGGTGGAGTAGAAAAAAAAAAAAAAAAAAAAAAAAAAAAAAAAAAAAAAAAAAAAAAAAAAAAAAAAAAAAAAAAAAAAAAAAAAAAAAAAAAAAAAAAAAAAAAAAAAAAAAAAAAAAAAAAAAAAAAAAAAAAAAAAAAAAAAAAAAAAAAAAAAAAAAAAAAAAAAAAAAAAAAAAAAAAAAAAAAAAAAAAAAAAAAAAAAAAAAAAAAAAAAAAAAAAAAAAAAAAAAAAAAAAAAAAAAAAAAAAAAAAAAAAAAAAAAAAAAAAAAAAAAAAAAAAAAAAAAAAAAAAAAAAAAAAAAAAAAAAAAAAAAAAAAAAAAAAAAAAAAAAAAAAAAAAAAAAAAAAAAAAAAAAAAAAAAAAAAAAAAAAAAAAAAAAAAAAAAAAAAAAAAAAAAAAAAAAAAAAAAAAAAAAAAAAAAAAAAAAAAAAAAAAAAAAAAAAAAAAAAAAAAAAAAAAAAAAAAAAAAAAAAAAAAAAAAAAAAAAAAAAAAAAAAAAAAAAAAAAAAAAAAAAAAAAAAAAAAAAAAAAAAAAAAAAAAAAAAAAAAAAAAAAAAAAAAAAAAAAAAAAAAAAAAAAAAAAAAAAAAAAAAAAAAAAAAAAAAAAAAAAAAAAAAAAAAAAAAAAAAAAAAAAAAAAAAAAAAAAAAAAAAAAAAAAAAAAAAAAAAAAAAAAAAAAAAAAAAAAAAAAAAAAAAAAAAAAAAAAAAAAAAAAAAAAAAAAAAAAAAACACACACACACACACACACGACGTCGACTACGAAGAGCGAAGCGAGCAGGATGTATTCTGCTTGTGCTCCTACATTCTCGATCTCTTGTGACGGTACACGTTGTACCATAGTGCTTGTGCGAGTGCTGCGTGTTCTCGGTGGCGCGCCGCGTCGGTGCATGTGTGTGTGCTGCCCCGCCACTGTGTTCGTGCAGCTGTAACAAGCTGTTTTATATTGTGTGTCGTTGCCAAGTGCCACAGTAATGTGTTTTCCCGCGCTCGGTCCCATCCGTGTGAGCCGCGCGCGGTAGTGTGAGTACGAGCTTCGCGCTGCCGTACCGGTGTTCTGCGCTGCCGTGTAGACTCGCGTCGAATCGGTAGCTATGAGCGACGGGCAGCGGGGGCCACAGGCACCTAAATCGGCGTGTGATGACGGAACGCCGAGCCGATTGAAGAGCGTTCCACCGTTGCCGTTTTCATCGAAGATCAGGTCCTTGCCTTCGATGGCGGCGGCGGCCACCACGAAGAAAATCCTTGGCGCCCCTCTGGTGACAACCAAGGATGCTCCGCTCCCGACCATCGCAGACTTTGCGACCGGGAATTATGAAGAGAAGTGGACACGTATTGAAGGTCTAGTAAGTGGTCTTGCCAGCTTCATCGAGCCCAAAAGAAACCTGCACAAGGAGATAGGCAGGTACACGGCGTGCCTTGTGCAGGCCGTATCGGCGTTCAAGAAGGCAAAGAAGAGCACAGGGCCGGCCCCACCTCCTACTGCGGACAAGGCGGTCGGCACGTCTCCGTTGTTCTCGGTCGGCGAAACTAGCAAACGGCGTGCAATGTCACCACCGGAGACTCTAGCAACTCCGAAGCGCCGTGCCGCGACAGCTGCATCTAGGCAGCTAGACGAGAACAACAACGATGCCGCAGATCAGGACGGCTTTGTCCTCGCTGACCACCGTCGTCATCACCGCCGAAATGAGCCGGTAACAACAGTTGCATCTGCGCGCCTCCGGCAAGAGCCGAAGCTAGTTCACCACCGACCGGACGCAATCGTAATCAAGGCGAAAGATGCAACTACTTATGCAGATATTCTGCGTACCCTCAAGTCGGACACGACCTTGCAGCAATCAGTCGGAAGCAGCGTCCAAAATATCAGACGCAGCGCTGCGGGAGGCCTGGTTCTTCAACTGAAGAAAAACGTGGAAAATGCCTCCACCCTCGGCGCGGAATTGGACAAAGTCCTCGGTGACACGGCCACTGCCAGCGCCCTACAGCATACTACTGTGATCGAGATCCGGGATCTCGACGAGTGTACCACCGAGGATGAGATCGCCGAAGCACTGAGCGCATCGCTGAATGCCCCGCACATCAACAAGGATGCAGTCAAAACGCTGCGGAAGGCGTACGCAGGAACGCAGGTGGCTGTCGCCGCGCTCCCTGATGACCTAGCCCCCAAGGCTCTGAAACTTGGTCACATTCGTGTTGGCTGGGTCAACTGCCGCATCCGTGTTCGTGAGGATACCCTGCACTGCTATCGCTGCTGGAGCCCCGGCCACATCTCGACTCGCTGCAAGGGACCAGATCGCTCGGCGCACTGTTTCCGCTGCGGACAAACAGGCCATCGGAGAAAGAACTGCAAAAACAAACCAACGTTCGTCTTTTGCCAGGAGCAAAGCGCTGTCCACGACCACGCGTCCACAAGCCAGCAATGCCCATTCGCACAGAAGACAAACCAAGCCCGCTGATAATGAGGATCTTACAGCTAAACCTCAACCATTGCAAGGCTGCTCAGGATCTCCTGAGTCAAACCATTCTCGAGGAGCGCATCAACGTGGCCGTAGTGAGCGATCAATACAAGAACCTTGAACCGCCTTACACATGGCTAGCTGATGCCAACAGCCAAGCCGCGATCTGGGTGCAGGGAGGCAGCACGGTGCAGGAACGCCCAGCAAGAGCGCGTCCCTTTTTCACCTGGGCCCGAATCAACGGAATCTACCTTTTCAGTGTCTACGCTCCACCAAGACTCGCTGACGTAGAATTTTCCGCTCTTCTCAGTGACATCATTGAGGAGGCCTGGAATAGGAAGCCGCTCATCGTC